CAAAATCTGCCCAATTAAAATACACAAGAATAAACCTTTTTCTGCTATAAAAATTACTACACTTGGATAAAAGGGCTGCAAGTCAAGCCAGCAGTAGGCTTCCTAACCAATACTAACTCCCTTCCCTGTGAGTTTAGGCCACTTCAATAGGCCACAGGGGAAAAAAAAAACATGCAATCATTAGACTACAACATCTTTAGCAGAAAAAAAGTGTGCTGACATTGATTTTGGTAATTGCTTGGGGGTTTTTTTGTATGAAGAATGGGTTTTTAATACTTCTACCTGGGATTTTATGAACACGGTAGTACAAGTTTGCAGACCCAAGGGTTGTAAAATGACACCGAAACACGATGTGGCCAGCAGTACCTGCAGCTGCCTCTTCCTTACAGCTCTCACCTCACCTCAACGACGCCTCCAAGGAAGATTTTTGCCTTCTTTTGACTATATTTTCCCTTGCAGCCTTGCTGAAAACCTAAGGGATGAGAGCGCTTAAAAGCAGAAATCTTACAAGGGCCACGACAAACAGCACGCAACCAGCTCTCGGTGAAATAACGCGTTTATCCAGACCGGTAGTAGGAGAAAACCGTCCCCTCTTTAGACTGCATACTTCAGATAAATAAGATTATTTCGCTACGAGCTACTACAGGCTACAATATACTCACATAAATATATTAATGCCTATATGCGAATATGAATTTGTATATATCGGATACAGATAAGAAACACTTAAGACGACGAGTAGATTACCAATAACCGCTGCAGCTTCTTGCTGGGTAAAGTCTGTCATCCAGACTTGACGTGACGAACCCGCGCTGGCGGGTTTTGCCATCCCCTCCGGAGCGTCCGGTGGGTCACCCTCGCTGCACCAGTGCAAAACACTTCCCGACCCTTCGTTAGCGTTCCCCTGCCTCTGTACTTTACCAAGAAAGCCGGCTCGATGGGCTGGACTCAACACAAATCCCCCTGGGGCTACAAGGCAGGGGAAGCCTCTGCAGCCCCTTCCACCCCGGGTAAGCTTTTTAGGGATCGCCCCAGCTTCTGTGCCAGCAGCGGGGAAAGCCAAGTACGAGGGAGCTGCTGGACTTGGCTTTGTCGAGACTATAGGTGAAAAGCTTGGGTTTAAGCCTCGGCGGCAACATCGGGGGCCTGATTTGCAGAAGGGGCGAGGAGCTGCAGCGACGGCGGGGCTGCGGACGCTCAGCAGCTCTGCAAATCGCAACTGAAAAAAAAACCAAAAACCGTCCCACTCTTGGTGGTTTGAGAGGATCCTCAATATAGCGCCTGTCCTCCTCTAACATACGAGCGGAGCTGGACCAAGCGAGTACGATAGGTCTCTAACAGACATGTGCATGCACGAGACGGCTTCTTGGAGCATTAGACTACGTTACTGAAGCATCCCCTTACCAGAGCGGGAGCAGAAATGTGCTCCTAGTATTATTTACACAATATAAAGTGCATTACGATTTAATTATTGAACTGACAGACTTTCTGCCGGGACCATACAATTTTGAAACAGAGGTGAGGGCTTGAATAGGAAATTCTCTCATGAGAAAAAGAGGTTCAGACTGGTGCTCTTCACCCTGTCCTCCTAAGGATTGTTTTTGGCCGTTCTTTCTAGTGCAAATAAGCTTGTGTTTTCTCAAGTTTAAGGGACATGGCAGTTTCAGGGCATCAGGAACAAACATTTAAAACGCATTAGGGATTCAGCGTTCCCGAGCATCTCGATGGGCCCTTCTGCATGCGAGCAGCCCACGTTATCGCCACTCTCGGAAGCTGAAGACGCGTTGCCAAAAATAACAAGGAACCCGTTTCCAAATCTCACCGTTAAAAGTCTTGCATTGCTACATTTCGAGTGAGTCTGCATTACCCTCCAACGACAACATCTGCAAACATCGGTGCTTTCCATTGCAGTGGAAACCTGTGGCTAGTAGTCTACCCATGGGTGATCGGCTATGAACGTGAAGATACCGATCCAGTTTTGGATACTAAGGTGCATCCTGCGCCAGGGGAGTAAATAAATGCATTAGTGGATCCTACAGGATACCTGCGTGCCAGAACCGAGCCTGACCCAGTAGCCAGCAGACGCTGAATTCCTGGGTGATATTTACAATAAACTAATGCCATCAGAAGGCCAATTCATTAACAAAAGACCAAGGGTTTTTTAAAAAAATGGGCAGCAATAAGGAAAGCCATTTCTCATCTTTTTTCTTTTAAAACAGTGAAGAAAATATCCCCTTCCAGTCTCTTTGCCCGTCGCAAGTATTTTCCTCACCAACACTACAGGAACACAGGGAAGGCATGATCACTTACAACACACGCGGTCACTCAGGCTAATTCCAACGTAGGAGCTTTTATGATCCCTTGAGTCAAAAGTAGGCTGGGATGGGGAGATGTCAAGCTCGTAGGGGAGGAATGCCACGTAGAAACAGGAAGGAGAGCGTAAAAAGTTTGTACATTCATAGCTCCAGTTTGTTGGAATATAAGTTAATTTTTTACTCCAGGCACTGTGATGGGCAGCAGCAGTCAGCGATACGCTAACGTACGCATCAAGTACTCATTCACTAAATTCTGGTTTCACACCAATAATAGGACATAGAGTTATTTTAATGTTGGTTTTGTTTCTTTTTAATTGACCTGTTAAAACCATTGGGACCAAAGCCCTAAGAGCGATGATGAACCAGTACCCCATTTAACCTCCAGCTGATTCATCACGGTCCGCTAGCTGTTTGAGTGGTGGAGCGAGAACATCTCTCCGAGAGTTGAAAAAGTACCTGAAAGAGTGATCTACACAGAAACGGATGGGAGTTTTTGACACTACTAAGCCAAAGGCTTGGTTGCTGTAACTGCTATGTGTGGTTTTATCTAAAGGGGGAATCACCTAAAACAGTGAAATTAACTTCCTTACTTCTTGTCACAACCGTAACATTTTCCTAAAGGTTCTTTGGTGACTTTGGTGCAAGCTTTTTTTTTTTTTTTTCTTTTTTCCTTTTTTTTTTTTAAAGTTAAAACAGATCAAGTAGTTTTAGTACCCAAACTAAAGTCCAGATTATCCTCTTGGTTCCCACCCCTGCCTCCCCAACTTTTCTTTATGGTTAATGACATTAACAGGTAATAGCATTCGGATTGAGCGTGGCCATGCAGCGTGCAGGTGGGTCCAGACTAAGAGCGATGAATGGTCTGGTTGGAGATAAATACATTTCTCAACAGATTAAAAAAACCCCACATGTAATGGTTGCATGGAAAAATAGCTGATTGAAATGATTACAAATATCTGATTAGACATAGTAATGCCTACTTAAAAAAAAAATCTTAAAGGTGGGCAACACATAATTGGAAGTACCTGGAGCTCAATCAAACTCCCGCTGATTTCAGAGGGGAAGGAGCTGGTCACCCGAGGGCTGGAAAACCCCCTTACATTATAATTATTCATGTTTTAGGAAACAGCAAAGAATTTTCAAAAATCTTTCTTCAACCTCCTAAACAGGTAATCGTACACATTTTCCGTCCAGGCAGAGTTTATATCGTAAGATGTAAAATTTACGTTACAGAGACTTCAGCGGGACGACGCTGAAACCTGGTGGTGGGCGATCAGGAATCGAACTGCTTGATGACAGTCCCAGCTCTGAGCGGGTGGGAAGGGGGTGATGGCACTGCAGAGATATTATCTCCTAACAACAACACCTGTAAAATCAACACGACAGAAAACCTGACGCAGCGTTAACCACAGCTTCCGAAACACGCTACGGGTAGGTATGAGAGAGAGAGATGCCTTTTTATACGAATCTAATGGTGCACCAAACCCCCCAAAGGTCTTTCTTGCAGCGGGAGGAGAAAACGCCCGGGTGTTTTCCTCGCATGGGTAACGTCACGACCGCATTTATCTCACGTTTGGGAGAGAAGCTGGGAGCCTTGGTCGCGGCGGTCCCTCCACCTCCGAATACCCGCTCTGCAGCTGCCTGCTGGAACCCATAACACCCTAATACAAAAATACCTTTTGAAATTTTGGACAAATGCATTAAAAATAAAAAAAATCACCAGCCCCGCACGGGGAGAACACGTAGATGAGGAGTGGGTTATTATTCATTGCCATTAATTCAGAAGGCTTAGCACTCGAGTAGAGCTTCGCTATCCTGGGATAATTGGGTTATTCGGTCAGCACAAAACTAGAAAATGAATAACAAATCTGCTTTTCACCAGCATGTTATAAAGGTCTGACCAGTTATCGAGGTTTTACTCACACGGAATATCATTTCAAACTCAATAACCAGCAGATGCCAATTTTAAAACCTCTACCTCTCCTCATACACATACCAGCAATTCATGTGAAGTTGATTTTTGCCATAAATGCCCTACGGCTATGCTGCTCAGCCTTTTGACCGAGTACGGGCAGAATTCAGTCCCAGAAAACCCATCATAAGCAGAAACCGATACATTTCAGCATAAGGTTTGGTTAGGGGTTTGTTTTTTTTTTGTATCACGTTGAAGTGCAACACAAGCCTTATCTAGACTATTTAAAGGTCAGAGTGCCGGATTTTTTTTGTGCTGATATGCGTACTTCCATAGTCTTCAACACTCGAAGCAGCTGACTCATACGGACTCAGGAGGTTGGTACTTTCATGAGACATATGGAGATGTTTTGGGCATAATTTAACATGATAACCAGACTCCTATAACATTACGGACCGGAGTTAGCAAGAACTACCGGAAAAGGACTTTACAAAAAAATGGGGCAACTTGAAATTACTATAGGTCAGTCCCTCTCACCAATTTCTGCTTGTTTTGTTTTGTTTTATTTTGCCAGATGGCCAGTCCAATGCACTCTATTCGAGACCCTCTTGCTCTTCACCACTGTCCCCTCTGGCATCCATTCTTTTTTCTTTATGGCTGTTGTAAATTCTCCTCATCTCTTCTTCGTACTTGATAAAATTTTCCCCAAACCGTGTCCATGCTTTGTATGGAACCGTGATGGTGTTACGGTAGGGCGGCCTCACCTCACTTACCTTCAGGAAAATGCCGTACCTGTTGGATCCCACGTCGAAGTAGAAGCGCTTGTTGTCCACTCGGAAGGAGGTGCCCTCGGGGAGCTCCGGGGGCTCATCGCCTCCCCCCCGGCGATCCTCTATGTCCCCCTCGCCGTATTCTTCGATCAGCTGGACCAAAGCATCCCTGAACTCAATCATCCCTTGCGCCGGAAGGACGATTGTCTGCTCCTGTCCCAAGCTGTGGCCAAAATAACCCATCATGCCAGGTCCCCTACTCATGGTTTGTCTAATCCGCAAGAAGCGCCCTCGCTGATTCTCCTTCAGGTCCAGGTAGTACTTTCTGTTGTCCCTCTCGATGTACTCCGTTTTGAGGACGCTGTGAGGGTGCTCTTCGGAGCCGACGGACACCGGAGGCGAAGGCGGCGGGTGCTGCTGTCGCCTCCGGGGATGCTGCTCTTTGCCATTGCTGTGCTCGTGCCGGTGACCGTGGCCGCCTTTCAGGCCCAGGTGGGCATAGTGCTCGATGAAGTCCCCCAAGCAGTCCTTCAGCTCGGCGGCCACGGACAAGGAGAGGGTCAGCTTGCTTTTCCTAATATTGTCCTGCCTGCCTCTTCCTATCCAGACCTCGGCGATCTTCAGGAAGCGGCCTCGGGAGCTCTGTTTCACATCCAGATAAAATCGCTTTTTCTGGATGTCCACCCTCTTGGAGGCCAGCTCCTGGATCTCCATGCAGCCCCCCTGGGAGGAGGCTGGGTAATGGTACTGCTGCTGGGACTGGGAATAAATGCTCCTGTGCAGGCCAGAGCCTCCCAGGTTCCTTCCTCCTCCTCCTCCTCTCCCTCTTTCCATCTTTACCAATCAGCTGGAAATAATACATAACAGAGACACAGATGACAACATCAGCATCAGGGGCCTGCTCGCCTGCTCGGCGGCGTCTCTGTTCGGCGCTGCTCTCCCTACAAAGACGCCTGCATCCCTCTCCGCTGCCACGGCACGCAGCATCGCAGCAAAAGGATCCCGGGTGCTTTTCCCCTCCCTTGTTTCGGCTCCCGCCGGCCGGCCGACAGCCTCCCAGACAAGGGAGCCCTCCTTCCAGCGGCACGCCGGCCCCAGCGCCCTCGCCGTCTGTTCTCCCTG